GACGGCAGCTCTGGCGCGCGAGTGGGTGCAGCGCATCCGGGAGGCCTCCGCCTCATGTGAGCCCGCTGCTACGGCCTGCCCCGTGGCCCGCACTGTGCAAGCTACCGCACCGTCCTCGCCTTGTGCCTTGTGTGCCGTCGTTACTTTCTCGTACTGCACTGACCCCCTGCTTCAATGCCGCTGCAGATGGGCGCGGGTCGCGCGACTTGGCGGAGATGGTGGAGCAGGCGGGGCCCATGCCGCCCACCTCGCAGCCGGAGCGCCTCAGCTTCTGGGTGAGCGCGCGCCGCGAGCAGCCCCATCGTGCGCGGGGCTGGCGAAAGGGTGCTGGTACATGGGAGCAAGAGTTGGTTGCTCGCTCATTTTGGCAGTCTGGCGACACATTTTGTTCTGCTGACGTGTCCCTGCTGTGATGGGGCAGGTGGGCAACTTGCTGCTGGTGGGTCCGCGCGAGCGGCTGGCCATGCTGCGCACCACCGACACTGCCGCGGTAAGCCCCCATCATACGACAGCGCGAAATTGGTGCACCGACGTCTATGCGGTTGTATTCTCGCCTACTATGCCTCAGGCCCTCCGTTTCGCCCTTCCATCTCATCCCTGTCGGTGGCTGTGGTGTGCAGCGGCTGCGCATGGGGCGCGCTTTCCTGGCGGAGCCCAGCAGCGGTGCCAGCCAGTGCCGCATGCAGTGATCCCGTTGCGCAGGCGCATCGAGGTGCGGAAGTCGACGGGTAGCGGTCGGGAATAGAAAGAGGGCGGGCCTTGGGTTGGAAAGAGGCATGTACAAAGTGTATCCTACGCAGGCAACCATTGTATACAATTCTTGGAAGTAGGACTTGGAGCAATCTGGCGAATAACAACTGCTTGCACTCAGTGCTATTGGCTGTCAAACTTTGGCGAAGAAGTTAGAGCAGCAGAGCCAAGCATGGGTTGCACACGAGGTGTCTTAGTTTAGAGCTTTTAGCAAGCAGGTATACGAGCATAGAACCACAAGTCCCAGATACATTCATGTGCTGTTGTCCCTTGGGCATTAAGCCGCAACTCGCAATTCACTACCGGTAGCTCTTGGCCGACCACATTGGTTGGTGGGCTGCATAGGTCCAGGAGACTTTCCAGTAAGCGACAGGCTTCAGAACCTGCAATGCATGCAATCAGCTTATATGCTTTCGCAACACCGCATGATTATTTTGCGGTACCTGCGTCGAATTGCGCACAATCCTGCCCTAGAAATTTCAAAGCCTCACAACGGGTGATGAATATCAACTGTGCATCCGATCACGCGCGCGCGTCTCCTGTTGACACGTGCCCCTGAGCGAGCATATACATGGGGTCGTTATGTACTTTAAGGTACATTCGCAGTCCGTCTGCCCGGCTAGGTGAATGGAGCAAAATACATAAAGATATCCGAACCCACCGTATACAAAGAGAGTTCATCTCTCCAGCTTAATGTCCCTCGAAAGAAGGCTGACGTTCCTTCATCTCCGACTAACTTCTTAGTCCTTCACAGCTAGGGTAAATTCTATCTGCTTTAGTTCCATGCTAAGAGAGTCACCTGCAATAGGTTCTCAACGTCGTTTCTGAGAACTACGGTTCAAGCTGAACCAAATCTTTCGCTGCTCTCTAGGGGTATCTTGCACTAGCCCTATCCCTACGCTTGCTCTCTACACTGCCCGCCTGCCTCCCCTTCCCGTGCTCACCTGGTATGACAGGCCGGGGGCACGCTCGTGTGCCCTGCCTGCACCGCGAGCCCACTGTCGTGACCGATCTCTCCCATAAACCGAACTGCTAATGCCAGAATTATTGGGTCAAAGCAGGCCCCCGCCCGCTATCGTTCCACAAATGAAGGTCTTCACGACGTCGCTCAGGCTGCTGATGGCCCGGCTCTTTGTTGCTGCGCGCGTCATTGCTCGAACGCGCGCGCCTCGTCCACGTTGGTTGCCCCGTCGCTGAGCCCGCTGCGGTGCGGCTGCTGCTGCAGGCGCGCGCGCCGCTCCGCCACAAGCTGGTCCGCGAACCTGTCGAGGCGCTCCTCGTTGGTCTGCCCCATGGGCACCAGGTGGCCCACCTCCGGGTCGTAGTACCGCGCGCGCTCGGTCAGGCACTCGTCCGCCAGCGCGCTCAGCCGGGCCAGGTTGCGCGGGTGCGTGTTGTCCAGCACCTGCGCAAAAGGGGGCAGACATATGCGCGGCCGCAATTGGACCGAAACGCTGGGCCCACTAGGTATGTCACACATGCAAGGGACCGCAGCGCAATCCTGGGCGTGCTTCAAAGGACAACAACAGCAGAGTCTCCGGCATTCTTTCGGGAATCAAGACGCCAGATTTGCAAGATTATCTACAGCGCCTTGAAAACCCTTTGGCTGGAGCAGGCGCTGGAAACAAAGCTACGGCGACGTGTAGTCGTGTGCGAGTTTGTCCTCGTGTTCTGGTGCACGTTGCACGTTCCTCTTCCCGTTGCTGAGCCTTCATGGAGGGACCTGTGGATATGTCAGCTGTGCCTCACCTTGGACTGCTTGGGCAACCGCGTCGTCTGCACAAGCACACACACCCACTGGCGTCAGCCGAAAGGGTACGCACAGAATCGAGTCGACGCCAAGAGATCGTGCATGATATGGGAGCGTACAAAAGAGGCGGGCTGGACGACTATGTATGGGCGTCGGGAGAACACGATCAGGACCTGAGCTCCCCAGCCACAAACCATTGGCCCTGCAAGCGTCCACAGTGATGCAGCTAGACCCTGCAGCAGGCACTCCCTGGCTGAGGGGACACCGCGGGATGGGCCGCACTCACCTCAATGCGCAGGTAATTGTCCCGCGCGCCTTCCGAGTCGAATGCAATGCACAGCTGGTAGTGCGTCATGTTGGCGTTGCCGAACACCATCACCTGCAAACACACCCAGGCGGGGGGCTTAAAAAGGCAGCCCGTGCCAGCCTGGCAGGGAAGAACGGCCCCGGCGGTCCATAAAGGACGGAGTAACGGAGGCCGATGGCCCCCAGGCGACCAGCAGAGGCGAGGACATCAACAACGGCGAGGAACAAAGCCACGCTCCGCCATGCACCACGCCGGCACGTGCGTGTGCCTCTTCCTTAGCGTCCTCTGTGCCGACTTGCACCACAGTGCTTCTTCAAGAGGGACGCAGGGGCCTGGGTTCGTACTGCCCCGTTGTGAGTACGACTGCTCACGTCCAGGAGTGCGCCGGCCCACTTGGCCATGCCCCACTTGCGCGTCTGCTCGTACTCGAGCGTCGTCTCGTCCTGGCCCGCCCCGATGCTGAGCACCAGCATGTCGCGGCAGCTGCGCCGCGCAGGGCCGTCCGTCGGGAAGTCCTCCTGCAGCTCGCGGTCCTGGCACCCGTCAATTGATGGCTCAGCCACAGGCACTCGACGCAGACGGGGCAGGGCAAGCCGGCGCACACAGAGCAGCAAGGAGGCAGCGGGGAAGGCGGGGAGCGCTGCCAGCAGTTTCAAGAGATTTGCACGAACGGCCACAGGGCGTGAGATGCAGCATTGGCAGCCACACGCCAAGGTGAAGCAGGAAACAGCAACGACGATGAAAGACCTGACTCGGACTGCCACTGGTGCTAAGGAAGAGCTGTTTTCCTCTCCCGCGAGCGCGTGAGGCACAGGCAGGGGAGGGGCAGCGGGGCCCCACCGTGTTGGCCATCACGTGGTGCACCGCCGCCAGGGCCGGGTTGTTAGCAATGACGCCCCCGTCCACGCACACGCGCCGGTTCTTTTGATCCACCGAGGAAATGCGAGCGGGGGGGAACAGTGCGGGGGCAGCACTGGTGGCCCGGCACACGTCCGTCAGCAGGTAGTCGTGGCTGGGGCTCAGGCGCGCGCGTTGGCAGAAGAAAAACAAGGGGCGCGCGTGCAGGATCTGCAGCGTCAGGACAGGCTTGTCGATGAGAGGCGGGGGAAAGACATACGGATGGCCGGACTGGGGTGCCTCCAATGCAGCAGAACAGTGTGCGAAGGGAAATACGTCGAGCGAGATCGCCTTCAGCCTGACAAGTTTGCACGCCACAGCGCCCCAACAAAGGAACTTCCCATGCCAACACCTTGGGAAGCAAGTGCGTGTCGCTGGCAGTGCTGCCCCGGGCTCACGTCGTAGGTGGTGATGAGGACGGGCCGCAGGATGTCCTTGAGGGTGAGCGTCTTGCCAGCGGGGGTAGTCAGGTAGCTGGCCAGCAGCTTCTCTAGGGGGCGCGCCTGGGGAAGAAACATGGGGGGGGGTCAGCTGCAGAGTCGTGACGGGTGAAGTAGGCTAGGCAAACGACAGGCAGGTGCGGCAGACAGACAGACAGACAGCCGGAACGGCGCTTGCATCCATGCGAAATGAGAATGACCAGCCGTAACGTGGGTCGTCTTCGACACGGGACGTCAGTCAGCACGTCAAAGCCTGGGGAGAGGCAGGCGTACCCGGTAGGCTGGCCGGAAGACATTCTTGACGAGCCTCCAGACCTTGACCGTGTGCTTGTTCCGCCTGAAGTGACACAAAGTCAGTCAGTGCCTCTGGAGGAAGCTACTGTTACTGAGCTCTTTGCCCAGTGAGGCCCCACAGAGAAGGGCACCCGTTCACAGTGGCCCAACAAACAGTGCGCCTCACTTACTGACAACCGAACCCGAAACGACCACTCATCACAGTCTGAAAAGCGGATCCAAGCAACCTACTTCAATCGTTACGACACAGAGTGCCTTGGATTCGAACAGGGGCGGAACTGGGCCGACCCAGAGCATTCCGCTCCATTAAATCGGTGACGAACTGGAGCTAGGCCTCGAATTGAGGCCAACTCATGGAGAACAGAATCGATTCCCGCCAATCGGAGCTGGTTCTCATGAACCGGTTCCATTGTCTGAGGACCGGCCACGAACCGGGGCCTAGCGACAGTTGCCCGCCACTTTTCTGGCGCGGAGATGCCCTGGCTCTGTTCCTACTCAAAGCCAACGTGCCGTATGGATGAAGGCAAACTTACGGGAAAATAGTACCAGCGTGACGCGTAAAGAACGTCCCTGCCTCGGCCGCACTGAACATTGGCCTCCCCGCCTCGTTGGGGGCCAGCAATGTGACTGGACAGCCACACTCGGCACGTCAGAAGCACGGACAGCGACAAGTCCACTGGATAGCTCTGCACCATCAAAGCAGCAGGGCGGGCCAACACGGCAAGGGGCAGGACAGCAACCGCGGTCCACTTTGAGACACAAAAAGGTCCACAGCCCAGCGAGGATGCACCACAGGGATAGATGCAGGTGGGCCACGGAGTGGATACGAGCTGGGAGAGGGCCACGCTCACCCGCCAGAATACCACCGGCGGACGTGCCTGCCACCAGGTCTGCAGAGGGGCGCAAAGAAGGCTCAGGGAACTGCAGGGGGAGGATGGGGACAGCATTGCACAGCAAAAGATATGCTGTTTGGGCCACTGTAGCGCGCCTGACTGCTACCAGCCACACTGGTATACTAGAACTTGATGGGCAGTCAAGGGCCAGACTTTGGAGCTGTGCCTCCCTAGGGACTCTCTAACAGGAGTAGTTGGCCGCCTCCGGTTGTTGGGCGCCATCTTATCAGAGAAGTCTCACTTGAATACAGAGTGATCTTATTGAAGTAGTTTTACCCAAGTGGTTTGATCAAAGTGCAAAAGAGGTCTTCCCAAAGTAGTCTGACCACAGTACAAAGTAGTCTTACAGAAGTGATCTCACCAAAGTAGTCGGCCACCCTGGCGTCAGGGTCCCCACTCTTCTCTGCAAGCATCTGCTCCAGCCGCGTCAAGATCTTGCTGGGGATAACGCCGCGCACGCCGCCTGGACATGGGCACACACCACCCCACATCATGCATGCGCAGCGGCGCCAGTAAAACCCTTCCAATCACATTGGCCCAGTAAGAGAATGCCCACTCCAGGATGACCCCCTAGGGGAGCATGAGATACACGAAGGGGCAAACCAAGTTGCTGCCACCCATGCCCACGCAGCATTGCTGCGCTGTGCCGCTGGCACCCCCTCACCTCCGTCTATGGACAGGATGCACACTTTGGACGATGGCCGCGGCCTGGGGTACACCGGCTTGGCCTTGCCGTCCCCGTCGGTGTCGGCGGTGGGCCTCTTGGCCCCGTGCTTCTGCAGGTCCACCGCGGCCTCCGTCTCCCGCTCTGCGTCCAGCGCATCAGCGCCATTGGCTGCGCCCCTCTCTGGCGCCTCCACCCCCTGTCCCGGTGCCTCCCCTACAGGGTCCGGCTGGGTCCCAATCCGGTCATACACCTGCTCGCGCGTCTTGAAGCTGGGCCGCTCGTCGTCAGCCTCCGCTGGAACTTGGGAGTCGTTTCGATCTTCCCCGTTTTCCATGGAGTGCCCTCGCAGAGACAAATCAATGGCTATTCAGCCGAGGGCGATCCTTGCATAACCCTACCGAGCTGCCTTCCTCTTAGTACTACGGTATCAGTTGCAACGCACTAGGTATCTCCGACCCCCTTCCTCCACGTTTCTCTAGTGAGCTGGGTAGTAGGTAGGGACAGTACTAGTAGGCCGACTCCTGGTAGGTGAGATCGTTTCATCATGTTCTCTTCTCGAATGTTACTTTGATCAGACGGTGTGCTGGCATGCATGTGCCGTATTGTGCTACACGCGCCCACCCTTCGCAGCTTCCTTTAACAAGCCTTGCATGCGAGCATTCAATTCACAGTGGTCTTGAAGTTTTTCTGCCACAAGCATATGATCGCTCTTCTCAGTCTTGCGCACCATTCCTGTAATCAAAATGGGCTAGGAGGGACACCGCCCTTCGGGCGGTATCCTCCTAGGACGGGTCCGAGGCCCCGCCAAGACCGAACCGGCCCGAGAAGAAAAGGACCTTATCGCCCGTCCGGGTTTTTCGCTCAGCCATTTTGCCGGGAGCCATCAGAAATGTTTCGAAGTCGAATCACATGGCGGGGAGATATCACTGATATACCCCGCCGCGGAGGGGTATATCAGGAATCTCTTAGCAGGTTCGACGGCGATGCAATGTCCGGACTCAGCGATAAGCGAGTTATACCATTCGAGCTCGACGATATCGAAGGTTTCTTGTCGACCTCGAGCTTGATATCCCCCTCGGGGCTCCGCCCTCGGGGAGATATCAGCTCTCGTTCGACGCGAAACCATCGATATCGCCGAGCTCTCATGGTATAACTACTACTTATGTCCGGTAGAACGCCTTGGTGATTCTTCCCGGTCGCTTCATCGAATTGGTGCGTGCCACCGTTCACTCCTCGCGCCGAATTTTCTGTGAAATCAATATAACGGTTCGCGTATATTAAGTATTTTGGACCTGGCTCATGTTACGCGCGAGCCAATAAGTTCCCAACAGAATGCGCTCGCGTGCAAGATTCGACTGCCAATTTGCCCACGTTTTTCCGGAGTTTCCTCACGATGCAGCTTGGCACGTGAGAAGGGGGTCTTGATTCCTACTGTCTCCTAGCCAACTAGGGCGAGTATCTTGAAGCCTTTGCCGCGGTAAAGCTGCGCCAGAGGGCTTATATCACAGGTGGGGTCCCACTCACAGTCAAGAGATACAGCTGGGAAAAGAAGAGAGAAAAGAGAAGAAAAGAGAAGATGAGACAGATATAAGAGGGGGTGTGACCGCTTGTACGACGAAGTCACAAACATCGAATGGACGCCAGATGGCCGTTCGATACATCGATGGAGTTATCTTGACCGTGCGATCCCTAGAAAATCAACAAGTGACGAACAAATGACGTTGCATCAGATTCTATTTTCAAGCGACTCCAACCCCCTCTTTATGCTCGACACGCGGCACAAACAAGGCCGTCGATATTTGGACATGCGGCATTCTGAGTGGGACCAACGATTGTGGCCGTCGATACGCGTGAACTCCCTTGGTAATGGCTACATCGACGGTCCTGTTTCAAAAAAGCTTGGGAGGCCGAACCCTGTCCAGTCTCATTGAGTGAAGCTGTGCACTGGCAGGCTGCAGCTGTCAAAAGTCGGCCCGCATGAGTGAGGGATGAGGATCTTGTGCCTTGCTGCCCGTGAGCCTCAGTATAGGTAGCGGTATGCTCTAGAGTGGTATGCGAAGGAGTGGTATAGCAAAACCCTGGGGAGAGATATTGAGAGAATTGGATGCTGGCGCTAAGAAGTCGACTTTGTCGTTAGGGCGGCAATTTCTTGTGCTTCTGATGATCTCACACACAGCATCCTCGTGCGGGAAGCTGCTTAGATAGATTGCCCCCCTTATGCTCTATTTCCCGCTTTCTCCTGTCATTTAGCATGGGGCCTGTGAAACACGAGGATGGTGGGGATAGTACTGACGGTGGGGATGGCACTGACAGTGGCAGGTTGCGCAAGAAGAGTCTGCGGGGTGCTAGTGGCAAAGCAGCATGTTCGCTGCGTCTGGAGCAACAGCAGCCGGAGGAGGAGCAGGTGGGGACCAGCTCGGAACGGCAGCACATTTGTGAGGTCTGCGCCATAGCCTTCTCAAAGCCAGCACATCTGCGACAGCACCTCGTGATCCATACAGGCCAGGTGAGATGCTCTATTGCGCCCGAGATAATTTTGCGCTGACGTCTCTGCAATCTGCAGTCACAATTTCCTTGGACCAGAGTTTGAGGTGCGTGAGTGGTAAAGAACAAAGATGTCTTGTGAACTGATGCTCAAAAAGCTGGCAATCTGGCCTCAAGTATTGACCAGAAGCATTCAAATTAATGATTTGGCTTTGTTACGAGGTTGCAACAGGCTTACTTGGCCTCGTCTTCAATGGCCTTCTGGGGGCAAGGGGCATGACGGCTATTAATCTGACTGATCATCCATGTTTCAGACCCTGTGCCCCAATTCTGGCCCGTCGTTACAATCCTTATCTACCCTCTTCGCAGCGGCCCTTCCCTTGTCCCCACGCTGGCTGCGCGCGCACCTTCAAGCGGCAGGACCACCTGCGCCGCCACCTGCTGAGCCACAGCCAGCCGGTCCTGCCCTGCCCCATCCCCGGCTGCCCCGTCACGTGCAGCCTGCCCGACAACCTGCGCGCGCACGTCAAGCGCCACCAGGCGGCCTGCTTCCGCTGCTCAGAGCCTGAGTGCACTTTTGAGACGGCGTTCAAGCGGCAGCTGTGGGAACACACGCGCTCCTGCCACGCAAGTGGCCACATGTGCCAAGAGCCAGGGTGCAGCAAACGCTTCAAGTTCAGAAGCCTGCTGACTGCACACCAGGCCTCGGTGCACGGTGAGGGCAAGGGCGACCGCTAGCCTCGCTGTGCTGGCTCAATGACCACCCTCACCGGCAAGCAGTGCTATGGGACAAGCTGCTGGCGGGGCAGTGGGGAGGGCGAAGAGGTTTCTTCTCTAGTGTTGAAACTCCGCAGGGGCGATTTGCGGCGGTGGCAAGGAAGAGTTGTCTAGTGGGCCTCACAAATACTGTTCGCTTGTATCCCCGTGGTTCGGCACAATAGAAAAGTTTCTTCATTGCGCAGTGTTCCTTGCGTGCACTATGCTGGTAGACTGAGGGTGTGGCCTTGGAACGACACTCAGGTCTCACCGTTGATGACTTGGGTTGCAGGCTTCACAGCCAACCGAGCAGCGCCACTCGTCAGCAACATTGGCGCATCTTCAAACACAAATCGTGGTCCAGGCTGCAAAGATGCGCAGGAGTGCTCCACTCCAAGACCAGGCGATTCAGGCCGCAGCAGCTCAGGAGCAGCCACGTCAACAGACGAGGAGGCTGGCTCGGGGCCACCCGGGCTGGCTTGCCCAGTCCCAGGCTGCACCGCCCAATTCAGGCTGGTACGGAGCTGTCTCAGGGGCCAGTGCCACGTGATGCTTTGGGTGCGTTCCGATGGTGGTTGCAACACCCTCTCTCCACCTCCTTCAGGACAATGGGTGTACTGCTGAGAGACTGTGTAACGCTGGTCCTATCCTGGCCTGCAGAGGAGGTCACTCAAGCAGCACTTAACGGTCGCCCACCTGAAGGAGGCACGACACCCCTGCAGCACCGCTGGCTGCCCGGCCTCTTTCTTCACCGAGGCTGACCGGGCCCGCCACTCAGCCACCAAGCATCCACCAGCCGGAGTGGTGAGCACTGACACTGGCTGCTGCCCTGCCACGAAAAGATAATGGCCCGAAGAGGAGGGGATGTGGCCGGCTACTTTTGAGTCCGCACATATAAGTGACTCAATACTCTGCCAAGACGAGTTTGCCTTCATTGACATTGTGTCTATAACTCACTTGTTGCTTGTCTATAACTCACTGGTCCGTTTTAATTCTTGTTGTTGAATACATAGCAATGGACATTAGAGTTCATTAGCAAGCGGTCGTTGATTTACGGTCAATTATGTATTCTACACCTCATTACAGCCTTTCTGGTTGTTGTGCAGGGTGTGGCCACTGGAGGCGCTTCTCAGTCTGGTATGCAAGCAGCACGCCAAAGACCTAGCATAGCCAGTATACTCGACCAACCGACGTTTGCGGATCCCATATAGTCGATGCGCTTAGGAAACGTGAGGAGGAGCGAAAGCGTTTGCACTCTGAATCTCTTCATGAAGGTGTAAAGTACATGTTTCAGGTTTAGCAAAAGCACTGTTATAGTTCATGGTCTCCGGACCGAGCAAAAATGACATCTTAGAGCGCTAACTTGCGGAATATTCCAAGAGCTCACGAAGGTTAGCGTATAAAGTCGATGTTGCCACTATATATACGTACTTGGGAAGGGAAAGTGAGAGTACTCCTTTGTTGCCGCCATGAATGCCATGAAACAATCTAAATGTTTGAATCAATGTGCGCTTCAGCCTACTTCAGTTTTTGTACGTGCATGAAACATGGGGCGTGTTTATGTCGTGGCGGCACATCTACACTAGCTTATACTGAGCTGTTGACCACTTACCTTCGCAGCAGGGAGAAGGCAAAGCAGCTGCAGTGATCTCGCTATAGTGGACACGTGTTTAGTAGTCGATCGCCGCTTGATCATGGATGTCCGTATTACACCTTAATAAGATGATGATCCAGGGGCGCTCAACAAAGGATCTGCCAATTGAATCAAACAATCAACAGATTCAAATTGGACATACGGCCTTAATCCGGGTATGCATGGTACAAGTATGGTGCACAGCTAGTCAAGTTGCATCCAGTGAATCTGTATTTGACTTTGATATGTTACAGCTGTATCCAAAATTATCCATATTGAGACCTTGTCAACATTCCTGTACAGACCGTTCAGGATCTCTCCCACGTTGTCAGAAAAAGCATCGAACTGGACTACTGTTCAAGCGGGTCCCCCTCTTGAGGGACAAGGCTTCGATTCAGTCTCCGCTCACGGTACTCATGCCTCACAAGCTTACTCAAAAGCAACGCTGCAGCCAAGGCAGACAACATCAACATGTAGAACACGAACCTCCAGCCCTGCCCCCTGCCTGCTTGCGAGATCCAACCAGTCAGCAGCGGCCCAATGGCTGCCCCCACCGAGCCGCTGCCGTCAATGATGGCAGTCACGATGGCGGTAGCCCGGCTGTTGTTCAGGGAGCCCTTCTTGCCCAGGTCTGCGCTGACAGCCGTGGTGATGAGTGCGTATGGGCCGTTGACGCACACGCCCGCCAGGACCATCAGCACGATGTTAAGCCCCAGGCTGATGTGCCCCCACAGGAAGTACACCCACAGGCACGGGATGGCCGCGTACATGAACGCGGCCGCCGTCGATGCAGGCGCCGCAAAGTGGTCGGACAGGGACCCCGCCAGGATGCCGCCCGCCACCCCGCCAATGTCAAACAAAGTGGACAACCGCCCGGACGCGGCGTCAGACAGGTAGGAACCACCAATGTCTGCAAGACCAGTGGGGTCCGAATCAGGCTGGCGTCCGGAGCAAACTCCTGAATTGCGAGGCAGTGCTGCTGGAAACATAGACTTGGATTAGGATACATGCCTGTGCTTCAACGAGGCAGCGGACACTGCACGCCTCCGGCCGAAGACCTGCCAGGGGCAGGGCGGGCGCGCTCACTGGTGTGCCGGATGTAGAAGGGCAGCCAGTACATGAGGCAGTACGCCACCAGCTTGGTGAAGAAGAGGCACGCCGCAAATGGCGCCACCCCCGGGATGCTCCACGCCTCCCAGAAGCTGATCCCCTTCATGTCGCTGTGCGCCACGCTGCCCGCATCTTCACTCTCCCCTCCCGCGCCCGCTACTTCCTGCCGGTCTTGCAGCAGGGTGGAGGCCTCCTCCCCGGCATCCGCGGTGTCTGCGTCGGGGACGGCTTCGCGCGGCAGGTGCAGGCCCACGTCCTCGGGGTGCACCACCAGGAAGAGGAACATGACCACGCCGCCCGCCATAAGGAGCAGCCCCGGGACCACAAAGCTGTAGCCCCACCCCTGGTCCAGCACTTCCGCCGCAATGAGCGACCTGCGGCAGGCACCGCAAAGCGAGCAACGTGAGGCCCTTGAGGGGAGCGAGCAGGGCGCAACGTGGCAGGCAGACAGCAGGGGCAGACAGCAGGTGAAGGGGCACAAGAGGCCATGCACCACAGCTGGACAGGGACGTTCCGCTTCTTGCCCAATCCTGAGGAGGTCCATTACTAGTTCCCGCAGGATGGCAGCACCTGAGGCCTTGATGAGCAAGCGTGCCCCTGGCGGAGGCAGCAGACAGTGCTCACCCTAGAATGTTGCCAACGGAGACGTGCGCATTCCAGCAGCCCATGATGAAGCCCAGGCGCTGGCTGCCGTGCCAGTTGGCCACCACGGACACCACGCTGGGCCACCCGGTGCTCTGGAACGCGCCCGCAGCCACCTGGACGAGCAGGAAGTAGGCCAGGCGGTGCACGCCCCAGAAGAAGCCCATACCAAACAGGACGGTGAAGGCGCCCGAGAGGAACATGCCACCAAAGAGGAAGAGGCGCAGGTCCACGCGGTCCCCCAGGTGGCCCGCCACAAACATGCCCGCCGCATACGCACCCAGGAAGGCCACGTCCAGGTCCCCCAGCAGGCCCTTCCCACCCGCGCTGTTGAAGGGAGGCCATCCGGCTGCAGGGCCCGCTGCGCCAAGGTTGCTGGCGGCCGAGGCAGCAGCCACATCCTTCTCAGGATCCAGGGAGCTCTTGACGATGCTGGGGGGTTTCCTGGCGGCGTGATACAGTGTGTATGCCAGGAAGGTGAGGCCCAGGGCCTGCAGCTGATAGCTGCGCAGGCTGCACCGCTTGCCACAGCACCGGGCCAGCAGGGCCGCCCCGGGAGCAAGGCGCGCCATCACAAACACAGCCCGAGAAAGGGCCCTCTCGCAGCAGCACCGCCCTTTTTAATGTTTGGCTGCCACAGCTCTACATCTCCTGGGGATGATACCTTCCTGAGATTGGGCAAAAGCGCCGCTCTTTGACCAACTACTCATGTGCAACTCCAAGATGGCCTTCCAAGCTTGATAGGAGCCTCCGGTCTCCGATCCCTCTATTAGCAATAGCTCAAACCTGATGCATCAATCTCACAACGTAAGCCAAGGTCGAGATATGCTCCCGATGCAGCATGTGCTAAGCACCATCTATACAATTGGCGCATACACAAGCGATTTGCAAGGCGCCCTCGCTTGGCATGCACAGGTAGCTAGATAGAACGAGAAGGCCTCGAGATCAGCTCCAAATGTATGACAGTGAAAGGCAGAATTGTGAGAGGAACGCGCACAAAAAATTAGTATCTCATTCACTGCCATCACTGACACAGTCACTGTCAGTGCCCTGGCAATGACGGACGGTCACTCTCTTTGACCATTAGGAACTCGCTGAAGGCGTCCGATCGCATATCGACGGTCAGATCACATAGATTGACTAGAATCCTACACATTCACACTGCCGGTTTAGTATGCTTGCCAAGCAGGCCAGATTTTAGGGTTCCGACTTGAGTGTGGACCAGTCACCAGCGCCAAATGCTTGTATTTTAAATTTAATTTAGCGTTCCTCCGAGGACCAAGGACCTCATGGAGCAATTTGTCTTCGAAAGCCTGAAATCTTTTTGTAGCTTTCTTCTCGCTAGGTAATTTCGCTTTTACAGGTGACAGTTCGAGCAGCTGAGCAGCTCTGCTGAGGTCCAGGACACCGCGCTGCTATAAGTAGGGAAAGAGGCCACGCCATGGCGCTCTCCATCTATCTGTATGTTCCTAATTTGATCGGTGAGACAATCGACCTCCTCCCTTTGCCTGTCTGCACTTCTGATTGAAGCAACAAACGTCAGGAGTGTTACTGGCACCGCACTTCCATACTTGTATGGCCGCAAGATGCAGCTTCTCAAAAGTGAGGCCTTTGGACGCCTTTAAAGGGGCAATTGAAATTGGTGCAACATAGCTTTAGTGCTGCATACGTGCCCTAATACCTTGGGACTGCTAGCATACATGGATGTAAGAAGCATTGGCCACTATGATGGCCGTAGGAGATTCCCGCAGCTTTTTAGGACCTATCAAACCTTCCAACTTGTCCCGACAGCGAGAATGCTGTTCCAGGGTGTTCATGGAAGGGCATCTTGCTTTGTGCCCACCACTATCCCTTCGTTCGGTCCTCCTGTCCAATGACTTCTTCCATTTTTCCTCCATCAGCGGAACATCCGAGTAACTTTTCCCTTATGACTTTTGAGTCCCCCACATTGTACCATCTTTTCTGTACCCATCTCAAATGCTTGTGGGTCCTTAATAAGGCAACTCTGCTGATCAACTTTCTTAAGTGTTTTTATCGAAAAGGGGGAGTGTCATCTCGAGCAATTGTTCTTTGGCTGCTAACATGAAGCTGTCGGTTCTCATTGCCTCGATTTGACTTGCAACCTCACTGCTCACTAGTTAACATACTTCCGACGTGTTATTTTGTGTCTCCCTTGATGCTGCAGGCTATCTGCGTGTTGTTTTGAACATGGTGGCATTCGCCCACGCTTTCAAGGACAGCCGCCTGTTCCTCGTGCTGTACCTCCTCAGGTAAGCTCAGGACTGATGTCGCTGCAGACAGTATACATTTAGAGACGAAAGTCACCAAACCACTCCGTTGAATGCCCACTTTGGCTGATCATACCTCCTCATTCAGTCCTGCTGACAGCTTGCAGAAAGCTTGAGCAGAGCCGGGACAGACCTTTGGCCCCACTTTCTTCACTCCTTTGATCCTGTGTAGATCTTCCGTCCATGTGCAAAGCGATGTTGTGGAGAGTGTCTTTTAGAACCAAAGAAGTTGCGTTCTTTCTTCACTACAGGCAGAGCTCTCCTTTTAAACGCGGCAAGCTCTAAGCTGGGTTTGTTTACAGAGGAACACACTGCTGCACTTGGAAGTCCCTCGTTATCATGAGTGACACCTTGCTCACCCTTCCACACCCCTGCTGATATCGTCATTCCATGGGATCGCACATAGAATGTCACTCGCCTTGTTGCAATCGTCCAGTCCACCTTGGAAGACCACCGGCAGTGCTGCGGCGAGCGCTGGGATGCCCCTGCTGACGCTGTGGACAGCTGCTGGTGCAGTTTTGTGTGCGATGAGCTGGACGGCCGCTTTGCGCGTCTGCTCAACCAGAGTGAGCACGCCCACGCTCTCTCCCCCCCCAGCCTCATGCCCTTGCTGCGGGGCGGGTTGCTGCGAGTTCAAGTCTCCCATCAGGCTGCGCCATGTTATGCCCGAACTACTTTCCGTTCTGTTTCTTCTATGCCCGGTTCTTTGCTTGCATGTGTTTCTTGCTCTGCTCCACACAGATCCCAAATCAATTTGGTCAGTTGCCTAGAATTGCACTCACTGCTGCGGGTCCAGAATTCTGGTGAGACAAGATCTTGAGTGCACGCCAATCTCTTATTGCTGATTTGTAATCCTCTTTGGCTCCTTTCTCAAAGACCTGAACGAGACACATGACCAACCACTTCGTGGCTGCACCGCTCAATGCCGAGCACCTTTGTAACAAGCCCTTTTCAACAGGAAGCGATAGTGAAGAAGTTGCTAGGTGTCGGTTTCGAGGCTCACTTATTCCTTCTTTGCCTGCGTTGCAGCCTCGACCTTTGGCGCGGTCCTGGACATGGTGACGGACCGCGTGAGCACCGCGGGGCTGCTGCTGGTGCTGTCCCACCTGTACAAGTGAGCGCGCACGCCCAGCCTCGCACCTACCACATGCGGGTGACAGTCCTGGATTCCGTCCTTGCGGCTGCTCATTCGTTGGTTTCTTAAGCGCTTCTGACGAGCACGGTGGGCGGAGGCATGCACCAGCAGGACACTGTCGAGGTTCCCGTACTCCATAGCACCGACAGCAAGCTTCGAGCTGCTCCCGATGCACTTGTTGGGCTGCAACAAAACTGGCGTGGACATCTCGTCGAGCTGTGTGTACTGCTGCTCTTTGCAACGGCATACTGCCGTCACTGCTGAGCCACTTTGGCGCAGAGAAAGTCGACGACGTTTGCCCTGCCCTGAGCGATTGCTGTCTGTGTGTGCGTGCAGGGACTACTGGCTGGCATGCCTGGGCCTGCTCGTCCTGGACGTGGCCAGCCACTGGCTGCAAATGTACAGGTGGGCCCGCCCAAATGTTGGTCGACTAGCGCCCGGGGCTGGCCACCTCCAGCCAATGCGCATCCTCCAATCCTTGTCACCATTCAAATGAACGAGCCTGAGATCCTGAGCGACTCAAGGCTGTAAACTGCCGTGATCCAATTTTGTGGTGATGGGGGCTCTTGGTAATCTCAGACAATAGTGGACTTTAACCCGCTGCTGATGCATTTTGCGCAATTTTGGAATGTTTGAATTGCCACGTGCCACCAGACTATAGTGGCACGTGGCGCGCTTTGTGGTGATTTGCCTGTTCTTCGACCCTTCTGAGAAGTTAAACTGGTAAGACCGTCGAGCAGCCTGCCTGCTCACCGGAACTATCTGAAGCGGCCGGCACTGACCGCCAGGTCTCTAATGAATAAGGGAGGCTCCCATTTCAGAAAACGCCTGCAGCCTTCCTGAGCTTCGCGGATCCCTCTGCGTCCGCACAACACGCCTTATGCGGACATGATGACCTTGGCACCTGGCACTCACACCTAATTACGACAACTCCTTCTCCTCTTCCCTTTCGTCACCAGTTGCGCCCCAGGAGTTGGAGCTAGCGGCTTCGTGTTTGTTGCCTATCCGTTTGCCAAGACGTCTGATCGTTTCGTTGCTATAAAGATAATGTTCGGAAAGGTTGCATCTGCTCGAAGTCTCGTATCGTGGTTCTTAGGGAGCCACCAGTCTATCTCGAAGCGCTCGCCGAGCCGTCGTTGTCCCCGTCGCGTGTCTCCTCGCTCTCACTGTCCCCCTCGGGCGGTGTGTCGCGTGCAGCACGTTCCTGGTGAGCAAGACGAGCCACAAGGACGTGGACGCGCGCGCCTTTTTCCTGCTGCGCCTCTACTACCGCTACCGCGCCGTCATGGGCTACTGCTGCATCGGGGCGGAGGTGAGCCCGCCCACCGCCGCACGCCCGCCATGCGGCCGCCCTCTGATTGCCCACCCCGGGTGATTCCCCCGCAAGACCGCGACCGGTACCGCCTGGGGTCGCGACGGAGGTCCGGCAGTCTCTTGCCCTCGTTCCCTTCTGCCCAGTGCCGCCAGCGGCCCTGGGAGGTGTGCTTGCGGGGGCCGTGCTGCACAGAGCTGGCCAGCAGACTTCTGTAGAAGCTTGGCGAAACAGCGTGGCTCAAGCCTCAGGCTAAGCTTGGGCTGCCTCGTGTGATGCGCCGCAACACAGCGATCTTTGGTAGCTCAACTGCGGCCTACCCTCTAGTCCGAGGACCTGGTACAAAGAGAGGTTGCATACGTCTCCAACGCTTGAAGTCCGCCCTACTTTGAACACAAGCTTGGAGCTCTCTAGCGACGAAAGCACAATCTCTCCTCTGCTCAACTTAATTCATCCATGGATGCTACACAGAGCTGTTCCGGTTTCGGTGCTCCTCATTTTGCCGCTCTTCGTATCAGGTGCTGTACTTGTGCTTGTACCTCCTCCACGACCCGCTCTACTGGGGGTGGCCTGCGGTGAGTGCCCGCTGGTCCCTCTCCTCGAAGAGCACCTTGAAGCACGAAATATGCCGGGCATTAGACTCTTCTGCATAGAAGTACCATCTTTCTCCTTCGGAGCTCACTCGTGCGGAGTTGCCACGTCAAGTGGTGGCCCGGGCAGCTTCTCACGCTGGCTGCGCTGTGCAGCTCCCCGCGTGGGCCCACACGGAGCGGGGGGCGGTGTACTGGCTGGCCGGGCTGGCGGCCCCCGGGTGGGCGGTCAAGCAGGTGGTCAACCTGGTGCAGGTGAGGGGGCGGCGCCGACCAGTTTGTTGTTGCACTCTTGAGAAGGTTCTCATCATCAAGACTAAACGGCTATTGAGCGATGGTGTTTCTTTGGAACGCTAAGTCAAGTAATTTCTCCTCAATGCGCTAAGGTTTTGGGCTAGGTTATCCTACGGCAGGACCGCATAAAGGGATCATTAACCCCTCAACTTGCTATGTGGCTCCTTAATCATGGCTCTAGACGGAAACCTGAAGATCCTTTAGAATCAAATTTGAATGGATCGCTTGGGAACGCAAAGTGGTCCCTAAGCGGTGCTAGAAGCTTGTCGCTTTTGCGTCGTCCACTTTGCCTTTATATCACTATTGCCATTGGCGTGCTTCCGAGATTTGTTCTAATCGAACTCTCAAGAGTTGATCATTGTTCTGGGGCCCTTTGATTGAATGCTCAAGAGTTGGTCAAGACATTGGTTAATTTACGTCAACAAGTTATGGAACCCCGCTTTGTGATTTTGAGTAGGTATTATTGAGGCGATGTGATTCAACACGCCTGTCTTATGCAATGTGGATCGATTGAAGAACGATTTCTAATGCTTGCCATGCATATTAAGGAAACGCTCTTTGTTTTACAGTTGAAAACCGCTGCCGACGTGTGCGTTAGTTATGACGTAGAAAGGCTGCAAAAAGTAGAAAAGAAGACTCCATAACGGTAGGTGACTTCATTGTTCTGCATCTCGAACTGTCCTTGATCTTGGCCCAAGTTAGCGGCGAATCACTTGCTTTTGTAAGCTCCGGCATCCGAGCCCAAGACCTAGTCTCTGATTCGATAAGGGCTTTACAGTCTTCAAAAGGAAGAATCTACTCCACACTCAGCACCATGAGAATACCGCATGAGATGGCCAAAGCATGGCGGAGAAGAGACAAATGAAGCGCCTTGCCATCCAAATTTCGGTGGCTAGAAAAGAGGGCCGCGTCGATCACGTCCAAGTTCATGCATATCATCTCAAGCCTCTACTAAGAGCCGATCACTGAGGTTCCTACTCAACTCCTCGTGACCGGCAAAGATTCAGGGTTCAATGTTATCTACGACAGTGCGTCAACGTATTTTAGACGGCCGCGTGACCACGCACGCCGTGCCCGTAATTGTTGCAGCGAAATCTTACTTTTTCGTCACAGCTGTGACAGCTTCTCCCAATGGAAAAGCGTCCGAGTCGCGTCAGATTTAGCCGGTGATTCTAGCGGAAATCGCGGCATTGTCATTAAAAACCTCCTTCCTAGCTATCCATCCAAATCAGAACGTTCATTCGCTGAAGGGCTGGGATGGGAGAAAAGGTACACCAGGATGTTGAGAACTTCGACAGAGGACGCCAATGGCGAATCCTAGGTCAAATCTTTGATTTGATTTGATCAAGTCTTTCTTGATCGAGTCGCCGTAACAGTTGGCGATGCCGAGACTTTTGCTAGCTTCGTTCAGGGTCACCACTTTACCATCCAGGGGCGCACCTTGGTATGTGGTCCCTTGCTTCCATATCCCTAGCTGAGACAGCCTCGGTTTTATCCGACTACACTATCGTACATTTTGCGGGATTATAATTTGTACATCTATTCCATAATTCGTCCGACTCACACATGTCTGCCCACCTTTGGAAGAAACCCCGTGGGATTCCTTCCAAGAAGTGCACATTTATGGGTGGCGAAAAATCCGCTCCATGCATGTACGGCTAACCAGCTAACCCGAATCATGCTGAGCGGAATCTGCGGGCGTCCATACAATGCCACCAGTCCGCTTTGGCGGCCGATGTAGTGAGAAACGAACCCCACAAGAGGGTAAGTTGTGACCGGCTCGTGATCCCCAGCCGACGGTAATCTTGGCAAGGGGCCTAGATCGCTTCGGTGCTCCACGCGGTCCGTTCGTACGCCGCCAGATTCGTTTTGAACAAGCGGCCCGGCCGGAAGTCTGGTGGATGGGACTTCCACCCGGCGCGTCTCCTCGATCGTCGCGGTCGCTTCTTCTGGCCCTCCTTCTGATCATTCCTTTGCCAAAAGACATGCCCGTGAACTTGTGCGGCTTGAGATATGGCAGCACATGCTTGGAGTGGGCTCCGTCCCACGGAGCCTAGATCCAGGGGCGGATGCGTCGAGCGGCCACCTGCTCCCAGTGACGTACGTCACCGGTGGCCGGCTCCGTCGTCTGCACGGCATATCCATTCTCCAAATCACACATGGCCGTTTCTTCAGCAAATTCCCTTCTCACCTCTTGTGCTGAGGGCGAATCCAACTCTCCTGACATGCTATATCCCAATACGTTATATGCCGCTGCTCGCATCGTATCCGATGATTATCATCAGAATTGCATTAACAAATAAAGTGAATGGTGGCAGCTTGGTTCGGGCAATTCTTATAGCCAGGCAGTCCGGGTCGGGGCACATGTCACGTACGCGGATTCTGCTAGCCTGAACTCCGCGTAGTCAGCGTACAGTCACCGTGGTACCACTGCGGTATCAGTACGATAATCACCGTACGGAACTCCAAAATCCTGGAGTTGTATCGCGATGACTCCAACTTGGTACCACGGTGCTAGTACAGTGGGACCGTACTGGCACTCTGCTGGTTGTATGTAAAATTTTAGGGTTCCGCATAGGGAGCTGAGAGACTGCAAGCAACCATGGTTTCCAAGCCTTGGAATCGTTCTCAACGAACCCAATCATGGCTGCGATAGTGGCCATGCGTCCATCCATGCGGGTCTTCCAAAAGTTGCAATTAGCCTCTAAAGGCATTCTTTATTGCATTGGAATTTCTCTTTGAGCTAGAGAAAATCGTTTCACATGCTTTATAAAGCTAGGATGTGAATGCAGGGGCCCATCAAGAGCTTTGCCCCGGTCCCTTATTTTGTGCTAGGAGTTGCAGGGAGCCCACTCCTCAGTGCAGGGAGCCCACTCCTCAGATGCTCAGTAGATATTCTGAGCTCAATTCAAATGTGTCCAGCTCAGCGGAAGGGGAGCGGAAGCTCAGCTCATACAAACCTGACAAGTTCCGAGGCCTCTGCAACCAAGTTTAACCTGACCTGTGGGGTTCGTGGAGTATCCACATTCACGGGGGTATCCTGACTGACATAACCCAAAGGTTAAAGCAGAACTGCTATGTACGTGCTAGTTGTACATTAGGCGTAGATCCGGAAATCCGAAATTAAGGAAATGGACGGTTGTCAGGCTTCCGGCGAGGCGAGTCAGATTTAAAAATCCGTTGATTACGAATTTTGAAAATGAACCGTCCGGTCGTGTACATAGCGACAGGTGTCGTACCACGGTAGATACATACGATACTGTACAAGTAGATGTCCCCGGTAAACTACGGTAGATACCGGTACCCTAACCATTGCATGGCCAATGTCAGAACCGACCGGTACCCAGAGTTCCTAGCTAGGTATGAGTTCCGTATGACCCGACTCAGGTACCGGTACCGTACTTTTAAAAAGTTCCGAAGGTTGGGTTTGAGGTAGGTCCCATCGTGGCCTCGTACAGCCCGGTGGTACAATAATTAGACACCGGGCGCGATTGAGCGTGAGCTCAAGGAAATAGGGATGCCCGGTCAGATAAGCAAGCAGCCCCCGGGGAGCCATCTGCATAGAGCCACAAATCTTCCACAGAAGTCCCGGTTTTTACGGAACTGCATGTCAAAAATCATGCAGCAACTGAGTACCAGTGCCGTTTCTTCCTGCTGGTACCGCGGAGCCCAAATTCGTTTTGCACCGTACCGACGAGCTAAAAAATTTCGACAGCGCGTACCGTTCGTGGTGCTACCTTGTACGCACCAAGGTCGCACTAGGGTACCGACGAGGTACCACCACGGTGCTTCGCGCTTTTCTGCGCTCAACTCCGCAATCCAGTATCCCGATACGTGACATGTGGGTTCTCGCAACGCAAACAAGGTGAGCAAGAACTTGGCAAAGTCCGAAGCCACAGTCACTTATGATTTCGTCCTACTGCAAGTTCCCTCAAGTTTCTAACACATTTAGTTGTTGAAAAACGCCGCGACCCTCGCCTCTAATTAAAGGCCGCAGGAGACTGTCAGTTGATTCGGTTTGTGATATCCAATTCTAAAGATAAGGCCAAAGTAGCCGTTGAAGATCAGGCCGTAAGAAATTGCATCGATGGTGCGCAAAAACCTCACCAATTGTTGGAGTTTTGATAGTGTCAATTGCGCCTTGTTTATACACAGAACCTGCGACATGTACACATTGCGATACGGTTTCGACTCGCCGCATGCAAGCGTGTAATGGATGTTTGCCACATGGTGCGCGAAAATATCTGCCAAGTTGCACAACAGTGTCAAAATCAGTCCCTGCGAGCTTGGCACCAAACAGTCCCCTGATTTCTACAGTCAAGACACTGCGATGTTCCAAAGCAGCGCTCAAAAAATCAACGCTCACTTATTTCGCCAAAAGTACCTTTTGCGCAGGACTCGCGAAACGACGCAGTCGTTTCAAAGTTAGTGTTGGAAGTGATAGTGGGTTAGGCGGCCAGATTGTTGATTTTAGGCCGTGGTTACTAGCAAGTTAGCTAGGCTAGTAGAGACCGTACGATGTTAGGTTCTTACTTGACAGTGAGCCGTTCGATGGGTTCTTTTGTTGGTTAAAGTTAGGCTTGAGCTAGGCTATATGACTTGAGCTCATATCAAAAGAACCTGACTCATTCTAGGGGATGCTTGTAAGAGAGGAAGGCGCTTCTTTGTGAAGCAGCTTGTATGTGAGGGTGAAGTTCGACCCTATGTTATTACAAGCATGAGTGAATGTTTTCAACAGTTAGCATGTACTCCAATCAAGATTGGATTAAAATGGGTGACCACTCAAGAGTGACCACTGCCGGTCGTAATGGCACGGGTGAGAGTTTGGACCGGGAGGCTCGTGGCAACGCAGGTAGCATGTATAATAGTGGACGGTGGTTCGACCGGTGAATTTGACTAGTCTCAGCACACAAATTGAGGGCCGATCCGCCCCTCGACCCCTCGACACCAAATTCTGACCGAGGGTAGATGGCGCAAGCCCATCCGATCTTTTCCTCAAAACGAATGTTCGTTAAAACACCCCGACCACTTACTCGTCAAGAATCGAGTGGAGTTGGAGGCGGTGTTGAAACTCATGGTAGGGAGTCGTAGTCTACTTGAATTACTCGTCATCGAGTCTTATCGTGTTGCCCGGCACCCAAGCTCATCACTCATTGATGGCAGCCATGCATCCTAAGAGGAACACACGAAGCGCCTCACAAGCGGCTTCCTTCTCTTCACAAACTTCTCTTAGAATGATGTATCAAAATAGTGGTTTCCACCACCATATGTCTTACGGGTCTCTCCCGTTCCACTAGGCTCATTAGCCTACTAGGCTCACTAGCCTAAGTCACACACTACTAGGCTCACTAGCCTAGCTCACAGTCACACTCAATCTTAGCCTTCGATATCCTCATCTACGGCTTACACTGACGGCCGCTCTCCACCGCCTAACCTCCAAACCGCCTAACGGTTTAACCGTCTAACCGCCGTACACGCACGTCGGCGTTCACTAGTTCAAACCCCAACTCGGGCGAACCCTAATCGCATAGTAATTCGGCTGACTATGATCACCGAATTCTAACAGGCGGAATTGCGAGCTACTCCAAAAACGCTATGACAAGAGAGCACTGCTTAACCGACCTAATGTTAAAATCACACGCTCATGCTTGAAACCTACGAGGGATTCAACCACCCTCACGAACAAGCGCCTTCACAAAAGAAGCGCCTTAACTCTCACCAAGCATCTCTTAGTATGAATATCGATCACATGACAATGGTTCAAGTCAAGTCCAATCCCGTAGCTAGGTCTACTTCAACCTAGTCCAAGTCTACCATAGCCCTTAGATACGTGGATACTATAATCGACGGCCTAGCTTCTGTCACTCCAACCAACTACCATCGAATGGTCCACACAAATCCGGTCTTCATCTTTTGCATCTACCTTTTCCAGGTCCTTAATCTCCCAAATTCTTCCAAATCTGTTTGGTTTTTATCTGCCAATCTAGCACACAATCCCTTTCATTTTAATCCATCGAGCGCTCAATTTCTTTTATCTTAATCCGCCAAGCATGTACAGCTAGTCCCGAGCAATCTGCTAGTTTTAGTGACAATATTAGTGTAACTTAGTCAGTCTGTTTGTGAGTGAAATTGTTCTAAATTAGATGACACTAAAAGTAGCAGGTTGCTCGGGAGAAGCTATAGCTCCTGTCATCTTAATCTATCAGGTACTCAATCCTTTTCATCTTCATCTGCCAAGCTCTCAACCCTTCTCTCTTCATCTGCCAAAGTCTTCAGCTTCTTTCATCTTAATGTGTAAAGCCCTCACTCTCTTTCATCTTAGTCTTACAAGTAGTTCTTCTCTTTGTTCTCAATGTCCACAATTTGGCCGTCAACCAACCTTAATCTCAACACTCAGGGCGAAGTTGTTCGTCAGCATTGGATTTCTTTCTTGAAGCGAAAGCCTTGGATGGCACGTGCATGAAGCGAAAGCGACTTACCAACGCAAATGGCGCTTGAGGAGCGGCTTCATGCCCTAGCTCTGCGACCGGCTCCCTTAAATCGACCGCGCCCTTCAGCTTCGCCAACCGCCGCCCACGGCCCCGCCGGTGACTCCCAAAGTAGGCCCCTTTTCGGCATCCGTGCTTGGCGGCAACCCCGGTTCAACGCACTTTCCTCGAGCGCAATCTTCACTTAATCCAACCCCGTGGGCCATCTCTGTCGTTTCCCACTTCTGCCCTTCATCGTCCTCTGTCTTCAGCTTCAGCTCTGCTTCCTTTCTTTTTTCCCCCTCTTTTTGGGCTTTCTCGTACTCCACTTCCTCTTCGAGTTGAAATCTGCCAGAGCGTTTGTGATCGCCTTCGGGGATGCCCATAGTTTTTCATTGCTCCTACATTTGATCTAGTTCTTTTTTTTTGATTCGACCAAGCACCTTAGGACTCAATCCTCTTTTCAGTTTCTCTATTTTCGGAGTCCGTGTTGTGTTCGGCGCAAAGTCTTTGGGCTGTGTTCGGTCCCCAAACTTCTCACCTTTTCCAGTATCTTTGGTCCGATTCTGCCGGAAGTCTTACCGGGGACTTCGAAGGTGCTCTAGGACGCTTTGATTGGGCCAGTCCCGGAGGTGACGTTTGTAGTATCAAGGTTGACGCGCTACCATTTGGATTACTCGGGCGCCAGTGTCGCCCAAGTGGTGGTGCGTCAAACTTAACATAATGTGCAGATCGGATTCTCCAATCACATCATTCCTTCCAGGCTCGTCTCTTTCCCACCAGTCAGTAAATGGAACCCCTATGCATAATATGCTTACGCACACATGCAACCCTTTTGAGCATTCACGTCCAAGTTGTCTCCACTAAGATTCGAATTCAAGTCTCCCGCCAACTTGCGAAACCACAGCGCCTCCTTTACCGCCTGCCCCGCACTCATATACTCTGCTTCCACCGTCGACGCCGCAATTGTCGGCTGAAGACGGCTCGACCAACGCACCGCTCCCCCGTACATCAGGAAGACGTACCCGGTCGTGGAACGCTTCGTGTCAACGTCTCCCGCAAAGTCCGTGTCGCAAAACGCCTCAAGGACCTCACCGCTCCCCCCAAAGGTTATTCCGTCCTCCGCGGTCCCCACCTCAAGCGCCGCCGCCCAATGTGCGTCCGTTGGCGCGCTTGTGTAGCGCGCCAATGCCCCCACGGCCTGAGTAATGTTGGGCCGCGTGCACACACTCAAGTAGAGCAAGCTTCCTATGAGCTCGCTATAGGGGAATCTCGCCGTGTCAAGCGGCTCACACTCTCGTCAACTTCTTCCCCGCACCAAGGGGGACCGAGCGCGCCCTTGCGCCCGCCAATCCGTGCCGCGCAACAAGCTCTCCGGTGAGCTTCTTTTGGGTGAGCTTCAAAGTTCGCGCCTCCCGGTCGCGCGCCAACTCCTTCCGGAGGAAGTACGTCGCCTCCCCCAAGTCCCGCACGTCGAACTTGTCCGCCAAGTGCGCCTTCACCTTCGCAATCCGCTCCGCTCCCCGGGCCGCGACGAGGATCTCGTCCACCCAAACGATGAGGTAAACCCGCTCCCCGTTCACCTTTTCCACGAAGAGCACCGCATCCGCAAAGGACGCCACGAACTCGAAGTTACCGAGCTCCTTCTTCAACCGCGTGTGCCACGCACGCGGTGCTTGGCGCAACCCGTACATGGTGCGCTTGAGGTGGCAACCACGTTGGGCCCGCCTTGCTCGTACCCCTCCGGTTGCTTCATGTAGATCTCCTCCTCGAGCTTACCGTTGAGGAACGCCGTCTTGACGTCCAATTGGTGCAACTCCAAGTCGCGCTCCGCAACCACCGCTAGGAGCGCTTGCAAGGTCGTGTGCTTGCTCACTTGGG